CCCTCGCCGGGCCTCGGGACCGTCCAAAAACGACTCGGGACGAGAAGCCGGTCCCAGGGGAATGGGTCCAGACTTCTGGGGGTCGACGTCATGAAAAAATCATGACGTCGGGGGTCTGGGAAGGGGGGGGGGGGGCCCGGGGTGTGTGTGAGTTCAATCGCTTTCTGCACCGAGCCGCCCAAAACGGATGCACCCCAGCCGCCGGCAGCTCCCGACAGTTGCCGATAGTTAGGTTGGGCACGCGGTGGGCATCTGTTTGCGGCAGTTCGGTGCACCAACGGATCGAACTCATGCGCCCCCTCAGGGTCAACGCCCCCCTTGGTGGATCCCGATCATCGCCTTCCTCCAGGCTGGCGTCAGCTCGTCCAAGGGCGTTCCGAAAAAGAGCGTCGAAGAGTGGCTCGCGCACGGCTGGGAGGAGGGCCAGACGAGGATCACCCGCGACCAGCAGGTGCCGCCCGAAGACATGCAGGCGCAGCTCCTCTCCGCGCCGAGCCAGAAGGGTGAATGCGTCGACGACTCGATGTGGCGTGACGCAGATGGCGATGGTTGCGAGATCTACGCTTTCGCGATCGTGTCAGGCAAGACTTCAAGGGAGATCGCGTGCGGCGGCGGGGGCGTGCAGGAGGCCCCGACCGGGAAGCTGCGCGGCAGCAGAGTCCGGGTCGTCGCCGACGCAACGGCCAAGTTGTTTTGCCCCAAGACATGCGGAGCGTGCGGGGTGTAGGTCGCGCGACAGCGTCGTCGCCGACGCGACGGCCACGCTGTGCTGCCCCAACACGTGCGGCGCATGCGGATTTTAGATCGCACGCCTCGTGTCTGCTCCTACTCCAGTTCGACTCCTCCTCCTCCTTCGATTACGTCGTCTCCTCCTCCTGCAGCTGAAGTGTTCCTCCTGTAGGATGGGATTGAAAGAGCTCACACTCGAGGCCCCCGAGGGGCCTCGACCTCGCCGAGCGTAGGGACTTGGTCGAGACGCTGGAGGGTGGCCCTCCAGTTCCTGGGGCCGAGGAAGGTGGCTCCCCTTGGTCTGGCTCGGGCGCGAGTGGGTTTCGCCCCGCGTGGGCACGTCTTGGTGCAGTCCGGAGTGGCCGAAGATGCTCTCCCCTGGGTGAAAGCTCGGGGGGAAGGCCTCGCCGCGCGGCCCGACTCCTCCTTGAGAGGAGTCGGACTCTGCGGCGTGCGATGGTGATTGATCCTGGGTCGCATGGCTGTAGGCCCGTCCCCAACACCTCCTCCTCCTCCGCCTCCTCCTCCTCAGCAGCAGCATCGTCATCATCAGCATCATCATCGTCATCAGCATCGTCATCATCATCATCATCATCATCATCATCATCATCATCATCATCATCATCATCATCATCATCATCATCATCATTTCATCATCATCATCATCATCATCATCATCATCATCATCATCATCATCCTCATTATCATCATCATCATCATCATTTGAGGGAGTTTCTGTGGAACTCACGTCATCCTCACCCCCGGCGCGAAGAGCACGAGCCCAGAGCGGCCTCCGGCACCGTTTCCGGACAGATCCGGCGGATCCGCGGACGAATCCCAAACCGGCGCCCTCGCTTGAGACATCCCCACAAAACGGGCCCCGGGGGAAGTGCCCACAGGAGCCCAGAGCGGCCTCCGGCACCGTTTCCGGACATCCCGGCAGACTCGGCCCCTTCAGACCGTTACTCTCCAGGAGCCGATGCAACACAGCAAATGTTGCACGGAAATCGGCTCAAATCTGTACCGCACGCTCCTGTGCTACCTTTTGGGCGTGCCGGCCCATCCGCTATGGATGCGGCGCTTCTTGCAACGACAATTACGCCAGCGACACACTGCACGCTGCAACACGTGCCGTGCTGCGATGTGCCTCACGCACCGCGCAGCACAGACGGAAGCAACGAAATTGTCACGAATTTCGGCTCTGCCGAGCCTGTTCTTCCACGCCCTAAGGATGGCGCCCCGACATGCTGTAGAGCAGGTCCCACATCGCCGCCCTGCTGTGGAGTGGGTCCCCCCGGTCACCGACAGGATCGCGATCCCTCCTCCCGTGGAGCAGGCCCACATGGCGCCGATCATCACACTCATGTTCCTCACTCTCCTGATTCTCGCTCTCGGATGCCGGAGGCTCGAGGTCGATAGGCGGGGCGGAGGGGACAGTCGATAGGCGGGGGTGGAGGCGGAAAGTCCGATGCTGGAGTCTGGAGGTCGGGGTGCTGAGCTGGTGGACGCTGGAGGTCCACAGGTGGGTTGAAGATGGACAAGTAGCCTGTACGAAATCACTGTGGCAATCTAAACGGTCGCACGGCGGCGACAGCCATCCGGCCACCTAGCTGCGGCCCAAAGGTCTTAAAGTTTTTCTGCTACCTCGCGGGGGGGGGGGAATTCGTTGCGTTTGTTTCTCCCTCCCCGGCAGACTCGGCCCGTCCAGACCGTTACTCTCCAGGGCCGATGCAACACAGCAAATGCTGCACGGAAACCGGTTCAAATCTGTACCGCACGCTCCTGCGCTATTTTTCGGGCGTGCCGGCCCATCCGCTATGGATGCGGTGCTTCGCCCCCTCGTCATCGCCCCCTCCTCCTCCCTCCCCCTTTCCCTTCATCCTCCCCCCCCCCCTCCCGCCCTTCCACTTCTCTCCCTCCCCTCCTTTCCCCCTCCACAATTTCACAATATGAAAATACTCTCCCACTTCCCCTGATGGCGTCCGGAAGATATTCGGCACCCCCCCTGCGTATTGTTTTTTATTTTTATTTTTTTCTATTTTTCGGGCGTGCCGGCCCATCCGCTATGGATGCGGTGCTTCGCCCCCTCGTCATCGCCCCCTCCTCCTCCCTCCCCCTTTCCCTTCATCCTCCCCCCCCCTCTCCCGCCCTTCCACTTCTCTCCCTCCCCTCCTTTCCCCCTCCCCCCCCCCCCTCCCTCCCGCCCTCCCCCCCCCCCCCCCCCCCCCCCCCACCCTCCACAATTACACAATATAAAAATACTCTCCCACTTCCCTTGATGGCGTCCCGAAGATATCCGACACCCCCCCACGTATTGTTGTTTTACACAGGATTCCCGGGAAACGGGTTTTCGCTTGTGTTTTTTCCAAAAATGCTGCTCTCGCTGAGGCGCCGGCCTCATTTCTGCTCCCGAATCGTTCCGAATCGTGCTCCCGCTGCAGCGTGGGCCTCATTTTCGGATCGGTGTTTGGCCTCCGTCGTTCAGGATGGCGTTCTCGCCCCAGCGCGGGCCTCCTTCTCGCGCGCCCATCCGCCCGCCCCCACCGCGCCGCACCACCACCACCACCACCACCACCACACCCACCACCACCACCACCCCCCCACCCCCACCGCCCAGCACCAGCACCCGCACCAGGCCCCACACCACACAGCACCAGACACCACCAGCACCAGCACCAGCCCCAGCTCCACCACCACCCCCCCACACACCCCGCACAGCACCAAGCCCAGCACCTGCACCAGCACCAGCACCAGACCAACACCCCCACCTGCACCAGGCACCCACACCACCACCACACCACCACCACCACCTCCACAACCACGCACACACGCACGCTCCGCCGTGAAATGTTCCATGGCAATCGTTTACGCACGCGCGCGCGGAGCCACAGGTCCGCTACGACACGCGTCCGCGGATAGAGAAAATCAACGCCATGGTAAGGGATGGGAGGGAGGGGTAGGACGTCAGATATGACGCGAGCGCACCTAGCTTGCCCCCCCCCTCCCTCCCTCCCTCCCTCTTCCGCCCTCCCGGGGAGGTGGTGGGGGGGCGGGGGTTGAGGCAGGAGGAGGAGGAGGAGCAGCAGTAGCAGGGGGGGTGTGGAGGATTGGGAGGAGGAGGAAGAGGAGGAGGAGGAGGAGGAGGAGGAGGAGGAGGAGGAGGAGGGGGACGGGGAGGAGCCGATGGGGGAGGAGGAGGGAGATGAAGAGGAGGAGATAGAGAGGAAGAAACGGGAGGATGCGGAGGACGAGGAGGAGGAGGGGGAGGAGGAGGAGGAGGAGAACGAGCAGGAGGAGGAGGAGGCGGAGGGCCCTGATCTCCGACGATACGATTCTTTCAATCCTGGTGGCTTTCCTCGGTTTCGGGCTTCGGTGCCGCGTTCTGGCATCATGGCGCAGCAAAGACGGATCTGGGGAAGGGGTCGGGACGTTCTGGGCCGTGGGGGCTGCGGCTGCGGTGTCCCGCAGCGCAGGTTGAGGAGGAGGGGAGGATGAGGAGGCGGGGGAGGAGGAAAAGGAGGAGGAGGCGGAGGAGGCGGAAGAGGAGGACCAGGGTGCGGGAGGAGGAGGACGATGAGCAGGAGTAGGATGAGGAGGAAGAGGATGAACAGGAGTAGGAGGAGGAGGAGGAGGAGAAGAAGGAGGATGCGGTAGGACGATGATGATGATGCTGATGATGATGATGATGATGATGATGATGATGACGATGATGATGATGATGATGATGATGGGGAGGAGGAGGAGGAAGAGGAGGTGGGCGAGGAGGAGGAGGAGGAGGAGGAGGAGGAGATTTCTCGGGGCGCGCGATTTCCGCAGACTTTTCGCCGCTGGTTCGCCCCCTCGCGAGCCTCGCCCTCCTGATGCTCACGCTCTGTCTCCTCTCGATCATTTCCCTCTCGCCCAGAAGCGCGCGCCCCTTCTTCTATATACAGAAATCGATCAAACAATTTCAGAGCGGCGGATGTTTCATCATCAGATCAGCATCCGCATCATCCTCATCCGCATCAGATCAGCATCCGCATCAGATCATCATCATCATCGTCATCGTCATCGATATCAGCTGCAATCATCAGCAGCAGCATCATCATCCGCATCATCATCTAAATCATCAGCAGCAGCATCAGCTTCAGCAGCAGCAGCATCATCGTCATCATCCTTGTCATCACCATCCTCATCCTCATCCTGATATTCATCCTCCGTATGCACCTTCAATTTTGCCGAGCCCCCCCCCCTCCCCCCCTCGCACGGGCTCTTGGCTCCGAAGACGCGAGGACCAGCTGTCCACCGATGAGGTCAGGAAGGGCAACAACCAGAGGGCCGTGGTCAAGTTAACCCGTACCTCCGCCTGTGCGTGCCCAGAAGGGGAGCAGGAGAGTGAGGACGGAGAGCGCGGAATAATAGGCCAGGCGCGCTCTGACATCCGACCCTTCCCACCCATCCCTTCCGATTGCGCCGAGTGCGTTTCTGTCCGCCGACTGGTGTGCCTTGGCGTGCCCTGGAGGACCGTGATCCCAGACATGGCCCCGATCGTGCAATGCGCAATCAGAAAGGAGGACACTGCACATCAGAGAAGGAAGAGGTGGCGGGCGAGTAGGAGGATGAGCAAGAAGAGGAGGAGGAGGAGGAGGAGGAGGAGAACCAGTGTAAAGCCAAGAGTCATCAATGATGTTGGAATGGACCTCCCCTCCAAGCTCCCTCTTCGTAGGCCCCTATAACGGTTCATTTTCACAGAGGGAATTGCCTCGTTGGAAGAAACCCGTTTGAAGACCCTGAATGATGCCAAAGCATTGTTCTCGGGATTCCAACGCCACGGATCAACCTGATTGCTGCGTCTTGACGATCCGGAATCGTGCCAGAAAACCATTACTAGGACTTCAACGCCGCGAATCAACGTAACTGTTGAAACCTGACAAGCATGAATCCTTCCAACAAAAATCTGGTACACTGTTCATGGGAATCCGTGAAGTTTTTACCATGTTTGAAAGCGAATGTGCGCGGCGTTAAGGCGAGAGCCACATTTTGAAAAGGAACCGCCTTCAATCCGCGAAACTCTTGTAATTATCAACAACGAATGTGCGCGGCGCTAAGGCGAGAGCCACATTTTGAAAATTGGTCGCAATCAATCCGTGGAGCTCTGTCAATATGTGTAACGAATGTGTGCGGCGCTAATGTGAGAGCCACTTTTGAAAACCACCCGCCCTCCATCTATGAGACTGTTGCCAATGTTCAAGCTTCAGGGTCATAAATGGTAAGGAAGTCTCAGACGAAACGCCCGGCCCGCCCTCAAAGCTGGCCTCGGGGTGCGACGGGGAGAAGTTATTGCGAAGGCCTTACGGCCGGTACCGCCGACCCTGAAGACGGCGACGACGACGACGACGACGAGGATGTTGAGGAGCAGGTGGCGGAGGACGCTAGGGAGAAGGAGGGTCGAGGAGGATGTGGAGGAGGAGGTGCGAAGGGGGAGGAGGAGGACTAGGAGGGGGGGAGAGGGACGAGGAGGGGAAGACGGGAGGGGGGGAGAGCAGGGGGGAGAGCGAGGCGAGCAGGGACGCATTCGCAGGAGAAGGAAGGCTGACAAGGAGGAGGGGCAGCGGTGGGTAGAGTGTGGCGAGCATGAGCAGCAGGAGGAGGAAAGCAATGGCGAGGATGTTCACGATGATGACGACAACGCGGATGATGTCGGCGATGATGACGATGATGATGTCATTGAGGGGGGGGGGGGGGGGGTAAAACCGGCGGCAGGAGAAGTTGGAGGAGGAGTAGGAATGTGAGTATGATGGGAATGAGGGGGAAGAGGAAGGGGATGAAGAGGAGGAGCCCGAGGCCGAGGAGGAGCGGGAGTAGAAGGCGGAGGAGGAGGAGGAGGAGGAGGAGGAGGAGGGCGAGCATGGGGAGGCTCACGAGGTTGAGGAAAACAAGGGGGAGGGTGCACACGTACTCTTGTCCAGGGTGGCTCCCCGGAAAGACTGATGGTGGACATGGACGACGTGACGACGACGACGACGACGACGATGACGACCACGACGCTCACGACGACGATGGACGACCAACTATTTTTTGGGCTGCGCGCCCGTTGCCGAAAGAGGAGAAGGAGGGTCAGGAGAGGGAGGGTAACGGGAGTGGCGGGGAGTGGGGAGCCGCATCTGCCGCAGGACCCCCCGGGGACCCCCCCGGACCCCCCCCCCCAGGACCCCCTCGGGGGACCCCACCCGCCCAGGGACCCCCCCCCGCCGGCGGGGACGGGATCAAGGGAAGGAAGGGGCTTCCCTTCGGTTCAACTATACAACGTTGCTGAATTTCGCTATGGCTGGCGCGATCGAGGAGGAGGGCCCGACGACGAGTCAAACGGAGCAGGTTCTTCCACACGCCGACAGGGTCGGCGGATTTATGAGGAAAAAGAATTGCGGAGGAGGAGGAGGAGGAGAATGAGCAGGAGCAGCAGCAGCAGCAGGAGGAGCTGGAGGAGCAGGGGGGCCGGGACATGCGGAGGAGGGGTAACAATGAGGGACAGCAACGACGACGAAGGGCTCGGATGCAGAAGTGCAACCCGCGCTGCGGACAGAGCGCCAACGGCGATCGGACGTGTTAGACTCTGACGCGCTCCTCGATGTCGGCTTCCGGGCGGGTCATCGGGCCCTGGCGCCATCAAACAATGGTTCCAGGACGAGGGACTGCCACTGGGGAAGGGGCATGTGGGGCCGCGCCTCGAAAACATGCACCGCCGGAAGTCTGGGTGCTGACGCACTCCTCGTGCTGGGTACATCTCCAGCGGGGCACTGGGGGCCACCAGCGAGGGGGCTCCTGCTTTTGGCCCGCGCTCTTGTGGCCGCATCTCGACTGCAGCCCGCCGCGCTGCGACAAGTCATCTTTTCGCATTGGGCGTTCCAACAAGGAGGAGGAGGAGGAGGAGGAGGAGGAGGAGGAGGAGGAGGAGGAGGAGGAGGAGGAGCTCTCGAGGGAGCACGGAGGCTTCGGGCGGGGGGGCGGCGGAGGCAGCGCGGGGGCGGCCCCGCGCTGGCGGAGGCCGCAGGGGCCCCACCCAAGAGGTGCCGGCGTGCCACGTGTGACGGTGGGCCGTGTTTTTTTTCCTTCCTCGGGGGGGCGCGGGCCGTCCATGGCGCGGGCGCGGGCGCCGCGGGGGATTCCTCCGCCGTCCGCCCTCCTCCTCCTCCTCCTTCCTCCTCCTCCTCCTCTCCTCCTCTCTCCTCCTCCTCCTCCTCCTCCTCCTCCTCCTCCTCCTTGTCGCGCCACCCGGTCTGGTCCACCACGCCTCGGCGCGACGCGCCGGCCACGTGCCAGCCCCCAGGCGGCAGCGCCCCCCGAGCTGTTCCCAGCGTCCTGCCCCGCGGAGCGGGGCGACACGCTATCGGCTCGCAGGGCGTGGCGCGTCGCCGGGGCCGCCCCCGCGACGTGCCAAGCACAAGGTCCTGGTGCCTGGCCGCACAGAGCCCAGAATAGGCGTTCAGTCTGGGGTTCTCCTGGGAACATCCTGGCAGGGGAGGCCTGTGGATGTCGGCACGCAGACGTATTGGAAAGATCCCTTGCCCGAGACCACCGTCACCTCGCGCCGACCCCACATCGCCGTGGCCGGACGCGACATTCAACAAGTCATCAGAACGGCGTTCTGCAGTTTGGTTCAAGAGCAGAGCAGCCTTCCAGCGACTGGAGTTTCCTCGCGCCTCCTGCCTTTCCGAGCCCATCGGGAGCGGCGAGGAGGTGAATCAGGATTAGGGATGTGTGGACATCATTGCTCGGGCCCTGAAATACCCCAGACCTCACGGCCCCCTCCTTCTCTCCTTCCAGCTCGTCCCCTGCACCCCCCTTCTCGTCCGCGCACGTGCCTTGGGCCACGATGCGCTCACCCCCCTCTTCCTGGCACCCCCTCTTCGACGCAGCCCAGGCCTTCCCGAGCCCCCTCATGTACACGCTCGATGGAGTCGCTAGCGGCAGGGCAGGCTGCCATCCTGGCGCCCTCGCCGGCGGCCCCCTCGGCAAGGCCCTCGACGCCGCTCCGGCGCGGGGCCCGTCGGTGCGGCAGGGGCCCCACCGGGCGCTCACCGCTCCGGGCGATTGGCAGACAGGCCGAGTGGCCGAGATGGGCACCAGCCACCGGATGGCCAAGGTGGACGATTGGGCGAGGTGGCCAGATGGCCGAGGTTCGAAGGAGAAAAAACGCCATAAAAGCATAAACTTGTGGCGCTCCGCGCGGATTTCTTGGGGCCGTGCTGGGCCCCCCTGGCGGCGCCTCCGGCGCCGCCCCTGCGCCGCCCCTGGCGCGCTCCGCGCGCCAGGGAGAGGGGCCCAGCGCAGGTCCAAGAAAACCACGGGGAGCGCCAAAAGCTTATAAGCTTTTGGCGCTCCGCGCGGGTTATAAGCTTATAAGTTTATAAGCTTATAAGCTTATAAGCTTATAGCTGATAAGCATCCGGCGTAAACACATATATGTGCTTACGCCGGATGCCTCTCTTCTACTACCGAGGTGGCCGGACGGCCGAGGCGGGAGCCACCGCGCCCGGCGTCTGGAAGACCGGGCGGGCGGCCGAGGCGGGAGGCGCGCCAGGCGTCTGGGCGGCGGGCCCGGCGGCCGAGGCGCACCCCCGGCGCCAGGGGCGGCCGGTCGGGAGCGCCGCCCCGCGGGCGGGGCCGGGCAGGGCGGGGCGGCAGGCGTTCCGGGCTCCCCCGGGCCTGTCGCGCCCGGCCGCGCCCTGCGGCCCCCCCGCGCCGACGCTCGCGGAGGCCGCCGCCTCGGAGGGCGCCGGCGGCGCGGCCGGGGCAGAGAGGAGCGCAGGGGCCAGAGTCCAGAGGGGGCCGGCCACGAGGCCCGCCGAGATCATCTGGTGCGCCGAGAGCACGGGGGAGTGGGCCAGCGAGCTGCGGAAGCACGCCGCCGGCATCGGGCTGCAGGGAGAGCTCATGGCAAGGGGTGGGCTCAGCAGCAGCATCCTGTCCGTGCCCAAGTTCACGCGGTGGATGTTCAACCAGATGCGCGGCCCGGAGGTGGTCCCGTGGGTCACTCTGGTGGTCGGTTGGCGCGAGGCGAAGCCCTGCGTCGACGCCGTTGAGGCGGCCGCGACTGGAAGGGACAGCCGCCTGCGGCAGGACTCCTCGCGGATGCTGCGGGCGGCGACCGGGGACACGGCTGGCGCCGCTCGTGTCCAGGTCGCGGTCTCCACAGTGATCATTGCGGCGCACGACGCCCGGCAGAAGGCGAGAGCGGACAGGCTCGTCGCAGCCCGCAGCGGCGCGGGCGCGGCGCCGAAGTCGGACCCGAAGATCCTCGTGGCGCTCGGCGCCGACGAGCTCCGGGCTCTGCTTGCGGCCGCCGTGAGGCCCGCGGCGGGCGACGGGCCCGCCGAGGCCTCGCTGGCCAGG